ACCTTTTGTTCTGTGCTGTTTTGCTTCGCCAGAGGGGTACAACAGATGCTGAGACACCAGCTGGCTAAGGAATAAATTCTTTGATGTTGTTGGAGTCCCAAGGGTACACAGGGGATAGTTTCTGACAATCTTAAGTGCTAGTTTTGCTTTTTTTCCTCTTTTAGAAAAATAAAGTGGAATACATAGAGAGGGTTTTTTTCTGAAAATCCTTTGATTTTCAACCTCAGATTATGAAATTCACTGTACTTTCCTTTTCCCTAAGGCACAGCAAACTTTCAGGTTGAGTCAAGTAAGTATGTTTATTTTAGGCTACCTAGGGTAATTTGTCTCTAAAAACATATGACATTTCAACTTTACCAATGACATATTGTCATTTAACTGCAATAATGTTCACTTAATTAAATGCATCCTGGGGGAAAAAAAAGTGTTAATATGTTAAATAAAAAGTAGAGCATTCGAATTGGAAGTTCAAATTCAGATTTGGGTACACATGATTTCAATTACCTTGTCCATATATAGAATGTTGCAGTCGTTATATACAGGACAGTATGGGGTTTTTTTTTCACTGAACCTCTGCCTCTCTCTGTATATCTGCTCTAAGAACTGATGAGGGTTTTAGAAATTAAGATGTGGAATGTTTCTAGATGGAGTTTGAAAAAGAATTGAAAAACACAGGTTTCTAGTTTGGAGAGGGAATGTATAGAGGGTAAGTTCATCAGCTGGGCAAGAAAACACAGAGTCTAATGGAAACATATCATAGAATCATAGAATATGCTGAGTTGAAAGGGACTTATCAGGATCACTTATCAGGATCCCAGCCCCGCACAGTATACCCTAAGAATCACACCATGCGCCTGAGGACATTGTCTAAATGCTTCCTGAACTCTGTCAGGCTTGGTGCTGTGACCATTTCCTTGGGGAGACTGTTTCAGTGCCCAGCTACCCTCTGAGTGAAGAACCTTTTTCTGATATAAAACCTAAACCTCTCCTCACACAACTTCCTGCCCTTTCTTTGAGTCCTGTCACTGGTCACAAAGAATGAAGCGATCAGAACCTGTCCCTCCACTTCCTCTCACAAGGAAGTTGTAGACTGCAATGAGGTTCCCCCTCAGTCTCCTCTTCTCCAGGCTGAACAGACCAAGTGACCTCAGCTGCTCCTCATGTGGCTTCCCCTCAAGGTCTTTCACCATCCTTGTTGCCCTCTCTTTTGGACACTCTCTAAAAGCTTAATATCTTTCTTATATTGTGATGCCCAAACTGCACACAATATTTCAAGTGAGGCCACACCAGTGCAGAGCAGAGCGGGACAATCTCCTCCCTTGACCGGCTGGTGATGCTTTGCCTGATGCCCCCCAGCACACGGTTGGCCCTCATGGCTGCCAGGGCACTGTTGATTCATATTCAACTTACTGTTGACCAGGACTCCCAGGTCCCTTTCTGCAGCACTGGTCTCCAGCCTCTTGTTCTCCAGTCTATACACATAGTCAGGGTTACCCTGTCCCAGGTGTAGAATCCTGGAAAAAGCTTTGCTGAAGTCCAAAAATATTACATCTACTGTCTACTCTTGATCAACTAGGTGGGTTACACTGCTGTAGAAGGAAATCAGGTTACACAAGTAGGACTTCCCCCTCATGAAGCCATGCTGGCTATAACTGATGACTGTGTTGCCCTCCAGATATTTTTCAATACTTCCCAGAATACTTTTTTCCATGTTTTTACCAGGCACTGAGCTGAGACTGTCGGGTCTGTAGTTTCCAGAGTCCTCCTTCTTGAAAATCAGGACAACATTCGCCAGCTTGTAGTCAACTGGGACCTCTCTGGATTCCCAAGACCGCTCAAAAATCATTGAGACAGGCTTTGAGATGACATCAGCCAGCTCTTTGAGGATTGTTGGATAAATCCTATCAGGCCCCATAGATTTGTAGGGATCCAGTTGAAGCAACAGGTCCCATAAAAGTACAGGGTCAGCTGGGAGTTGATCATTCTCACAGTCATGGTCCTCCAGCTCAGGGCACTGAGACCCTTTTGATCTGTCATCCGTGTTGAAGACAAAGGCAAAAAGCACATTAAACACCTCTGCCTTTTCTATGTTTCTATTTGTGAAGCGACCATCCTGATCCTGGAATGGGCCAATGATATTTCTATACTGCCTTTTGCTATTAATATATTTGAAAAATACCTCTTTTCATTGTCCCTGACGTTTCTGGCCAGCTTCATCTCCAACTGAGCTTTAGCCAAATGAATTTTCTCCGTACAGCGGCAAGCAGCATCTCTGAATTCTTCCAATGTCACCTGTCCTTACTTCCGCTGACCATATACCTTCCTTTTTTAACTTTTTTCCAAGAGGAGATCTCTGTTCAGCCAAGCTGGCCTTCTGCCTTGTCTGCTTGACTTGCAATATTTAGGAATTGCCTTCTCCTGTGCCCTTAAGGAGGTGATGTTTGAAAAGTGATTATTTTATTTTCTCTTGTTATCTCGTTACTTCCTCTTGCTTTGCTGTTGAAGCACCTCATGTCTGGTCTTTCAAAAGAGACTTATGCTGATCCCATTGTTCTGGAAAGGCATGAGATACCACTGGGCAACCTTTGGCTTAATTAAGTTTTTGCTGTGGAACTATAATTTTATTTCCTGAGAAATTGCATGAGACTAATATAATGAGGAATTAGTTGTTACAGGCATAAGACCTTACTGAAATAACAAACAAATTACATGATCATCATGGTAAAGTCTTTGAAATGGCCTTTCCTCTTCAAATTCAGGGAGGTGGAAAGTAGTGGAAAGTTATTAAAGCAGAATAAGCTGTGAGAAGAAAGACAACCAGTTCTGTCATCTATATTATCATATTGTCTAAGTTTCAAATACTTTTGTATTTTGTTTCAAATACTTTTTGTGGGGATGGTTGTTGTACACATGGAACAGAGAACATACTTAATTTAGCCTGTTTGGATCTTCTGCATTTTTGTGAGTACATGCAGGATCACGTAATTATTCTTGTAATATTCTTAAGTGTATATGTGATATTGGCCTTTCCATCTTCGAGAGATCAAAACTCAGATGCCGTCAAAAACCAAATACTGAGATCTGATTTTAAAAGAATTTTTACGCTGTAATTCTGGTTTGTCCATTGGTTTTTTTTAAACTCCCCATGCTTATCCTATTATATATGTGTGTGTGACAGTAAGGGTGGCCAACTCCATGATTTTTAAAGTGACTGCAAGTAAAGCCTTTTCATGTTGCAAAAATTCTCACACCCACCTCTACTAACTCCTTCCCAGCAATTAATTCTGCCAGAATGTTCTCCCCACATAAATGTGTTCATCCTTCAATAATATCACTGCTGCTTCTGAGAGTTTTTTGTTCTCTCTCTCCCAGAACAGTGGGTGCAGTTGTAACTTTCCAGTTCTGCCTCATTTGTTCCTCCTGCCCCAGCAAACAGTTCAGGGGAAGGAAATTGAAAGGCAAGGAGCCTTTCTTCCATCCGGCCAATGGAGAGGAAGAAGGGGCAGGAAAACTCAAGTCTTATCCCTCTTTAAAACGTAAGGAATCTAAGAAGGGCAAATATATGAACAGGGCTTCTGAGCTATATGTACTATTGGATTCTTTGCTTTGTTACACTTGTGGATAATGTCTCTCTTCTTCTTCTGCATAAAAATGTGAACACTGGCACAGAAAGTAGGCATTAAATACAATTTACTTAATAGTACATATAGTTTTGGTCTACATCATCCTAGTTAACTGCCTTCTCTTCCACCTAGCTAGTGGCTAGCTCTCTATTCTACGTCTCTCACTTATGATGACTGACTTGTATGACTGACTTATGACGACCATTTATGTTACCTCCAGTTTTTCACCTTTTGTAGTATTGTAGTACTCCAAAATCTGTCTTGCTCCTAACATTAGTCCAGTCACCAGGAGACACCCTTGGGACATTCAGGCCCAGTACCATCCATGTTGCTCTGCGCTCTTCCTCTGCAAGGAAGTCAGACCTAGGTGGTTTCGAGGAGTTTAAGGATGCGGCAAAGCAACAACAGAGGCTGGAGAGTAGAGCAGAGAGGGATTTGTCCTGTGAGGAGGGACACTCAGGGACGAAATGGGCTGGGGAAGCAGACCTGCCTGTATCTGCTTACAAAACTTCAGCCGGTCAATGACAGATATGTAACTTCAGTGTGTTTTATGTCCAGCGCGTTTCCAGTGCCTTCTTTGTTAGAAATACCAAAGTCCTTCAGAACATGGTAAGCTGGGGAAAATGCATGTTATGCTTCTTCCTAATTTTAATGCTGGCATTGACAAAACATCGAGGTATGGTTTCTAAAAAGGAGATTCCGCCTCCAGAAAAGGTACTCAGCGAAACAGTCCTGCAGAGCCCTCCGCCCGTGGGAGTAATTTCAAAGAAATTTCCAAATGTCTCTCCCTCTGGCGCCGGGAGGTGCTGCCACGCACCCTCGCCAAGGCTGCGGCGTCCCCGCTGGGAGCCGGGCAGAGCCGGGGCCGCCGGGAGCGGGCTCGGGAGCGGCTCACGCCGCGCTCTCGCCTCAGCCGCCGGCAGCACCAGTACCTGCGGCGGCCCCGAACCCCGCTGGGGCAGAGAGGGCTCCCGGCCGTACGCAGGCGGGGGCAGGTGGCCCTGCCCCTGGGGCACCTCCAGGCGCCAGGGCGGAGGGGCGCGGGGCAGGCACTGCTCTCACGGCCGCCCGTTCAGGAACCTCCCGCTCCCGCTGCCGCCGCCGCCGCCCTCGGGCGCTTGCTCTGGGCGGGCGCTCGCTCCCCGCCCCGGCGAGGAGGAGCGCGCCTCCCGCCCCCTCCTCCGGGGGAGTCGGGCAAGGCATGTGCGTGCGGGGTGGCGCCTGCCGGAGGCGCACCAAGCCCCGGGCTGGCTGCGCGGCGGCCGCGGCATCCCGGCGAACCATGCCCATGCCGCTGCCGCCGCCGCCGCGGCTCCTCCTCTCCGCCTCCCGCGCGGGAGCGCGCCCCGCTCCACTCCCCGGCTGCCTCCTGCAGCAGCGGCGGCGGCGGCGGCGGCGCTGAGGGAGTTGCGCGGGCTCTGCCCGATGTGGCAAGAAGCGATCATGATGAGGAGGAGACGCCGCTACCTGCTGGAGCGGGCAGAGCAGGCGGGCGGCGGCTACGGGGCGAGCGCCGAGCAGTCCCGCTCCCGGGACTGGCTCTACGAGTCCTACTACTGCATGAGCCAGCAGCACCCGCTCATCGTCTTCTTGCTCCTCATCGTGATGGGCGCCTGCCTGGCCCTCCTGGCCGTCTTCTTCGCCTCCGGGCTGGTAAGAGACACCTTCCTAGTCTGGGACCCGCGCCGTCCCCGGGTATCCCCGCTGCCGCTATCCGGCATCCCCTCTCCCGCTGGCATCCGCGCACCCGGCGCCCTCCGCCGAGCCAAGCCGAACCGAGCCGGGCGGGGCGGAACGGGACGGGACGGGGCGGGTGACAGCCGGTGCTGCAGCTCCGGCGGCGGAAAGTTGGTGGCGGGAGGCGCCGAGGTGGCGGCGGGGGCCGGGGAACCCCCGCCCAAACTTTGCTGCCCGATATTTGGAAGCGACGCTGGAGCAGCGGCCGCGCGGCTGATGGAGCGAAAACTGAGACAACAAGCGCATCGAGTTTAATTCACTTAATTCCTTGGCTCCGCTCTCTTCCAGCTACCGGCTTGGCCGTGGTCGCCTTTGTAGTGGCAGGGTTTAAATCCCCGCCCAAAGATGCAGTCGGTACTCGTATCTAAAGTAATGTTTTTAGGGCAAGTAAGCAGGGGCCGTGCCCTCCTTATACACTTTCCCCCCCGCGCCCTCTTCTCCGATACCATTTTCTAGCGTTTGACCCATTTTCTCGAGGAAGCTTTTGGGACAGCGCAGCACTCGTTTTTAAGGAAGGTGAAGTTTGGTCGGTCGGATCCCTTTTCTACATGACCAGTGCGGGGCTTCCAGCTTTTGGGAGGAAAAATATGTCACAGAGGCAGATGACAGTCGGTATTAGTTTATCTCCCCCAGAAGTCGGTGGCATTTGCCCTTGCGTTGAACGCAAAGGAAAAGCTGCAGAGAGCAGTAAAATTCTTGCTCCTTACAGTTTTCCTCCTGTTAGTGATTAGAGACAGGCTGTTGGTATTACTGTATACCTCTGAAGTGAAGAATAGGATTTGCGTGGTCTCAAAGTCTTTTTTAAAAAACAAGTCTTCTAATGGTCTCTTGAAAAGCGTAATGTTTATTGAATTGAGCTAGTGGTCTTTAAAGGAGAGGATGAGTAGGTTAGTATAATCTAATGGATTCTCTTCCAGAGGCACTGCAGCTAGTGTTTGCTTATACAGAGAATCCTGCTTTCTATCTTGACCAAACTTTTGCCTTAAAAACTACAGTAACTGCTTGCAGGATTAGCTGAACTTTGAGTCAATTGGTGGTTTATTTCCTTTTACTATTTGTATCAATTGTATTTTGAGCTTTTTTTGTTTCAAGTGCCATTCCTGTTAAGTACAGAACAGTTGTAAAAGGACTAAAGTGAGGCCAGTAATGGTGATGCCTCATAATTCAGCTGCTTAATGTCTAAGTGTTTCAGTTTTGGAGCTCTGTGTACAAAATACAGGTTTGACCACTTATTCTGGTGCTTGAGTGCTTGTCCATCAGGGCTGAAGGGACCAATGAAAGGTGGAAATGAAGTCCGTCAGGCATGTGCTGAGGCGTAGTTGGGTGTGGAGACATACACCATACTCACCTACAGTCAAGGTGGCAGAATTTGGGTTTGGCAGTGTTTAGCATTAAGTTTTGTACCTTCAGTTGTGGTATGATCTAAAGATTGAGGTTATTTTGGTAATTCTGTTTCTTGAGGTAAATCATTTACAGTAACAACGGTGGGCATAACACTGGGCTGGGGTCAAAGGACTGCTCAAAGTTATGGAAACAAAACTGTAAGCTGGCTGAATCTTGCCAGGCATTCTTACTTCAGAAAGAGTGAATTTTTATAGTTCAGTCTGCACTTAGAATTCCAGACATACCGGAAAAGGAAAAAAATGCTTTTAAAACCTTTTTCCTGAGCCTTTGTCTTCCTGTAGCTAACAACTGGATGGGTGAGTGGAGAAAGAGGTGGGGCTCATCCTTAAAGTTTCCAGTTGACAGATGAAAGTAACTTCAGGCAGAGAGAAAGCTTGCCTATATGAATTTCTAGCCACAGGATGTTGGACAAAATCCTTTGGAGCCCTGCCCAGAGTTTCACCTAAAAGCGCTTTATTATAGTCTAGCTTCTGGTTGCATTTGTGATTAAAATATTGAATTTTAATTGAAAACCACTGAAGGTTTAGATATGTTTCTCCCACATCTGCATAAAGAATACTCATTTTATATAGCAATGGAATCTTAGTCATTTTTTTGTGCCTGATGATTTAAAAGGGACATACCGTTAGGACTGTCTGAGCCACAAAAAGCAGTACCAATATCCTTGTCTTTTATTTTGCACAATTTGTACATGTGTGATTGTTTTGATGGAAGATTTAATTTTGTAGAGAAGGTGCAATGGAAGTGAAGTGGGATAGTAGGTCTGTGGTATGCATTTGAAGTTAAAGGAAGTATTAACAGTTGTTTCCTTTAGATTCTGTACAAAGCAATTAAGATTTTACTGAAAATTATTTAAACCTGTTGTGGAAGCAAAACTCCAAAATGACTAACCATAACACTCAATGTGTATTTCTTGCTTGTGCTTCAAAGAACAGGTTAAAACATGGAACATGGGTTTGGACATTGTTAAGATGGATATTCATGAAGTATGAACCATTTTTATATCTAGGCTTTCTTAAAAAAAACCCCAGAAACCAATTTAGTTGTTAAAATATATCACTGTGATATCTGAGTTTCCCCCCCCCCTTTTTTTTTTTTTGTGGCAATATATTCTTAAGTGTTCCCAAACACAGCCAGCCACACAGGGATGTATTCAACTTACTCAGCTATTTCAACCTGTCAGAATACAAGCTATAGCCTTCCTGATTTCAGATGAAAAATTTATTAAAGCTGTTGCAAAATTACAGTAAACAAGGTTACTTACAAAGTGTGCCTGGAAATCTGATTACTTTTGTTTCAGACAATGTACCGCTATTATTACTGAGAGAGGTTTCTTAGGAGATTTTGCTTTTGTTTCAGAAAACTATTGTGATTTTGACCTTTGGAATTAAGCATTCTATCTCCTCAAACACTAGATATAAAACTCCCAGATTCTGCTTGAAAGATGACCATTCACAGCTTGTAGTTTTAAATAATGTACTGATAGTATCAACCTTTGAATTTCCTGTGTCAGAGTATCCTCTGTATTTCTCTGTACCTGGCGTGAACTGCAAACTGGCAAAATGAGATCAGTCATCCATGTTTAGCTGCTGTTTTAATCGATAGAGAGTAAATTATTTTTCCAAACCAGTGAAAACCTTCCACCATTTAAAAATGCCAGAGGTCAGCTTCATTTTTTCTCTGACTATTGTATTGTTCTTTCAATATAATATGTAGGACAAACTAATTATTCGCCCCCTCTCCCTTTTTAGTGCTAACAACTTATGACCATTTTTAGTGGAATCTGGAATAGTTTTGTCTCTGACAGAAGCGTATCTATTATAACTGCAATTTGTAGGAGATTAAAAAAACGCCATTTTTAGATTCCTAATGCAAGATATGAGTGTAATGGAATTATCTGAAATTGTGATGTTTTGTTTCTTACGTGGTTAAACAAAGCTCAGACTGAAGACAGGGTAGATGTCCAAATTGTACAATTTATTGGAAGGCCATAACTTTCCTTTATCCATGTATTTTTCTAGACATAAAAAGTGCCCAGTCCATAGATACAGGCTGCAATAAAAATCTGTAGTTCAGGGATATCAGAATCTTTTAGCACTTGTGGGGTAAGTGGGAGAAGATCTGAGTCTGTCAAGATGTTCTTTCTGTCCCTTTTCCCAAAACTCAAGGTTCACCAACCTGCTACCAGATACATGTGTACGCTCATGCCTCTTGCTCAAAACCTTCAAGCTTCCTATGTGGTGTTTAATGTTAGTCTGCAGCCCTTATCTCCTTATCTCCCTCACAAATTCTTGCTGCTACATGTGACCTTGTAAAGCCCTTAAGATGTAGTTGTTGATGTGTTGATGCTGGTATGTAGATGCATACTTCTTGATGATACCATTATCCAAGTGGAGCACGTGTTGAGTGAAAAGTGCTTCTGCAGTGTGGCATTCTATTGCCTTCCCTCTTCTAAAGCACCTGAGATGGCTTTGAGTTGGCTGCCTGATGTGGAGCAGAGGTATTAGTTACCCCCTCAGCCACTTCTTTGAAGTTCCTAAAAAGCTCACAATCATGCTGGTAGGCTCAGTTATGGTTCCCGAACCTTTTTACTGATTCATAAATTCAAGAAACTAAAGATTGGCTGCACAGCTGCTTCACTGACATGCCCAAATACCTTCTGTAGCAAAAAGGGGAGTAGTCAATCGTGCTTAAGAGGAGAATACAATTAACTAGCGAGGTGTACCTCTGACATGACAAATGTACATTTTGCAGGAATTGGTTTTCTGGCAGCAGACTGACTGAATTTACTTTCAGCTGATCTGCATGGAAGAAGAGGTAGCCGCCTCATTCTGAAGAAGTACATGAAAACTTTTTAGCTGCCAACCTGGCTGGCAGGGAACTGTCTGTGCAAAGAGAACAGGAGCAGGAGAGTCCTCTAAGCCTTCTGGGGCTGGAACTGCATGTGCCATTTCTTTGGGCCCTTAGTCAGAAGGATAGCAAATCTTCCTTCCCTCAAATTGGCGTTACTCCTAAAATAAATCCTTGCTGTTTCTGGTAAAAATTTGACTTCAGCCAAGCCCTTCCAGATTTCCAGGATCATAATCTCTTTCTGAAATAAAGGGAGAAAAGTCTTCCAAGTCCATGTGGAAAAAGTAGCTTTAGAAGATGTTTCATCATTCTCATTGCAGTGTTTCAAGTGATAAGGTGTCTGTATAAGAGCATCTGATATATACCTCTGGTAATGTTCTCATCGCCTTGGATCTGAAAAATTCATCCATCCACAGCAAAAGGTCACCACACTGACGATGTGATTTTATATCTGTATTCATGAGATGCTCTGCTAAAACCTAATTGCATAGAATAATATAGCCATAATGTAAGATCATTTGTACTCTCAATTTTAGGAAATCTTTGCGATCATCTCTGTGTAAATTACAGCTTTTTTTGGTTTAGGAGCACCAACTGTTTTCCTAAAGTCCAAGAATACCCAAGGTCTGAAAGTGTTCCTTGGAATCCTCATAGAGTGAAAG